GGAATCAAACTCTGTAAATAGGAAAGCGTGGAGTGAGTGAAGGGTGCACAGGTAATGGGAGAAAAAATAAGAACTAAGATACATCATGTTCTGGTACAAACACCCAATGATAAATGTAAATGTATTTTATACCTAAAATGTACCAATAAATATATATAAATAAAAAATGTTTTGTTCAGCTCTGATATTTCTTTGTTGATTTTTTTCTAGATAGGGTCTTGCTATGTAGTTCAGGCTGGCCTCAAACTCATGGCCATCCACTTGCCTCAAATTCCTGATGCTGGGATCACTGGTGTGAGCCACTACCCTTGGCCTCTTTGTTGATTTTTTGTCTAGTTTATCTCTGTATTTGTGGCTATGTGGTATTGAGTTACCTTACTATAATTGTTTTGATGTTTATCTGGTCTTTTTTGCCCAGTATGGTTTGTTTTATGAAGTTGAATGCAAACAGTGTATGGTGCATATGTTTATAATTGTTATCGCTTCCTATGAATTGTTCAGTTAGCCAATATGTAGTGAGCTTCTTTCCATCTTCTGATCAGTTTTTGGCTTGAAGTCCAATTTGTTTGAAAATAAAATAGCTATTGCTGTAAGTTTAGGGATTTCTGTTGCATGGAATATTGTTTTTATCCTTTGATTTTTAATGTATAAACATTTTAAAAAATGAAATGCTTCACAATTTGCATGTCATTCTTGCACAGAGGCCATGCAAATTTTCTCTGTATCATTCAAATTTTCATATATTTGCTGCTGAAGCAAACAAGAGTTTATAAATTTTTTGTGGGTTAAATGTGTTTCTTGCATACAGCATATATTTGGATTTTGTTTCATGATTCATTAGACCAATTTTTGTCTTTTGGTTGAAGAACTGAATTGATTCACATAGATAGTTATTACTGAAGTGCATTGTCTTAGTTACTTTTCTTCTTCCTGGGACAAAATACTCAAAACTCACAAGTTAAAGAAGAAAAGGTTTATTTTAGCTCACAGTTTGTAGAGATTTCAGTCCATAGTTGGCTAGCTCCAAGACAGGATGACATGGTGAGGGGCATCACAGAGGAGAAAGTCCACACCAGAGGAGGCAGGAGGCAGTGATGTGAAACAGGAGCAGCAAGCCTCCCTTTCTCTTTTATCTCATATAGTCAACAAGCCTTTTGTGTGCTGGAACTGACACTCAGGATGATGGTGTTATTATTCACATCCAGAACTATGATAAACCAATTACTGGACTAATACAGTACCACAAATCCTTAGTTTCAGTATCATACACCCATAATCTAGTCACGTTCCAAAAGCCTCATCTAAGAGCAAATGGGGATTTGGGGGGGCATCTTTATACGAGCCATAACATGTATTGACTTATTTCTGCCACTTAATTACTTTTCTGTTGCTGATTCTTTCTCCTCCTTCTGGTTAGCTGCTTTCTTGCCTGGTATACTGAGTCTACTATACATTCTGGGATTATTGAGTTCATTTTTTCTTTTTAGAATGCCCTTGGGAATATTTTCAAGTGCTGTCTTGGTGGTCATGAATTCCCTAAGATGTTCTTTATCTTGGAAATGTCCTTATTTTTCCATCAATTCTGAAGGATAGCTTTTCAGGATATATCAATCTGTGTTGGTAGTTGTGTTGTTGCTGTATTTGTTTGTTTTTTTTTAGAATTAGAAAGCTTTGGCTGCAAGCTTTAATGGTCTATAAGGTTTGTTTTGAGTATCTTTGTGATTCATTGCTTCATTCTAACAGCTTGTAAGATTCTGTCTTTGTATTGGATTTCTCAGATTTGATCTGTGATGCATTGTGTAGAGGTTCTATGGTTGTGTATGCCTCACTTAACTGCATGCTAAATTCTCCATATTTGGAAAGTTTTCTGATATTTCTCTAAACAGGTCTTTTACACCATTTGTGCTCTTTTTAAATTTTTCACTAATTCCAGTTAATCCTAGATTAGTTCTTTTTGGCATCATCTAGAAGCTATTGGATTTTTATGTTGTTTTCAAGATGTCTCCTAGTAATTGGTAACCATTAGCCTTACTTTTTAGTTGTAACTCTGTTCTCACATTGATCACTTCTGCTTCCCATACTTTCAACAGAATTTCAATTTCCTAGATTTCAATTTCATAGACTGCAATTCTTTGCTAAACTAGTCATTCATGTTTTGTACCTGATTTTTAAGCTCAGCTATCTTTTCAACTATTATCTTCTTTAAACTCAGTAAATAATTGTTTAAATTAATTAACTTTTAAGTTATGACTTCAAGCTCACCAATTATCTTAGTTACTTTTTTTTTTGTCAATGAGACATAGTACTAGACATCCACAATTTAAAGGAGGAAAGGCTTATTTTAGCTCACAGTTTGTATAGTTCAGTTCAGTCAGCTTGCTACAAAGCAGGGTGGCATGGCAGGGGGTCTCAAAGAGGAGAATCAAAAATTCATAGCATGGCAGATGGGAGGCAGCAAAAGCCATAGCCTACCTTCTTTCTATCCATTTACATTCCATCCAGGCTACAAGCTTATTGATTGGTGCTACTCACACACAGGGTAGGTCTCCATTATCCACAACCTTACTCCCAGTATCACATTCTTAATCTACATTCACACACCCTGAATACAGCCACTTCTGAAAAGCCCTGCCTATGAGTCCAAGAAATTGTGGGGGGATATCTAGATACAAGCCATAACACCAGATCATGTCATTGATCCATTTTTAATCTCTTTTATTATTTAAGTGATTCAGCATGTGGGTTTTTTTTTTTATTTGGTACTGGGGATCAAACTCTGGTCCTTGTGCTTACACAGCAGGCAGTGAGACCACTGAGCTAAATCCCCAGCTGCAGACTGCTTTTTAAGGGGATTTTTAAAATTAGGAATCAAACTCAGAGACTCATGCTTTCTAGGTAGGTGCTGCACTGCTGAGCTATATCCTTGGCCTCACACACTGTTTTTGTAGTTTACAATAACCATGGGCTTTTCTTCAGACTAGCATGCTGGTCCAATCTATTGTTTCTCAATGGAGCTGCCAACCATCTGGACTTACCTTCTGTCCTTAGGCCCTGGACTCATTCATTTGTACTTCTTGTGGGCAAATTAATATTAGATATTATTAATATATATTTTGTTTTTCATTTATCAATTGATGGGTACTTGGATTATATCCACACTTGGCTGTATGAATGTCAGTATAAACACCCCTGTGCAGTTGCTCTTTGACTCTTATTTTTTTTGGGGGGGGGGGTATACATCAGATTGTGGTTTCAACTTGCATTTCCCTAATGATTAAGGGTCTTGAATATCTTTTAGTATTTTACATATGCAAGTCTTTTCAGTATAAGTCTATTTAGATTCTCTCATTATTTTTAAATTGGGTTATTTTCCTTTTCATTATTAAGATATAAATATTCTTTATATATTCTATATGTAAGTCCTTCATGAGATATATTACTTGAAAAAATATTCTTACATTCCATGTGTTTTTTCATTATTTTGGTGGAGTTGTTTGAAGTAAAATGTTTCATTTCAATCAAGTCCAATTTATCTATTTTTTTCTTTTTTTCACTTGTGCCTTTGGAGTCATTTCTGAAAAGACAGTGACTTACTTGAGCTCACTAAGATTTATTCTTGTGTTTCCTTTTAAGATTTTTATACTTCTTATATGTAGGTCTTTGATAAATTTTTCAGTTCCTTTTTGTATTTTGTGTGAAGGAGTCTAATGTCATTTGCATTTGGATATCTAGTTGTCCTGACACCATTTGTTGGAAATATTGCTCTCTTTCCCCATCAATCTCAACTCACTTCTCAAAAATTTTCTATAAGAAGTGGTTTATTTCTAGATTTTTAATTCTACTTAACTAATGTCTATTGTTATGATAGTACCCCACAATTTTGTTCCTTGTACCTCAGTCATGAGTGTTGAAATTTGGAAATATAAGTTCTCCAATTTTGTATAGTTCAAAATTATTTTGGCTATTTTGCCCCTACTGCCTTACTATATGACTTTTCAAACCAGCTTGAAAATTTCTACAATGAAAGTAACTTGAATTTGCAAAGGAACTGCAATGAATATTTAGGGGACTTGTCATCTTTACAATGTTGAGACTTCTGATCTAAGAAATCACTTTCACCAAATGTCATTTTGAGCAAGAAATCTGTGATTACTTTTTATGATGTTTGGGTGGGCTCAATAGTCTTAAAACAGTGAAGTGTAACTATAGTATCATGCTATCTTTAAAGTAATTGATTACAACATATTAATTATGTATAATATTATTTTGGAATATACATGATTGTCATATGTCAGTTTATGATTTTCCAGATCCTTTGATTCTAAGGCCAGTAATGAAATTCTGTGAATTGAGTCAAATATTTACATTTTACCACCTATCTAAATATTTATTTTATAAAGTCAGATTTAGTTATTTGAACAAATCACATATTTATTTTGTATTTTAATATGTAGGCCCATTATACGACATTTTCAGATGCACTATATGCTTATGAAACATTTATCTTTTATTGTCATTCACAAGTAAAAGTTCTTTTTTAAAGTCATTGACAGGCAGTTAATATAGCTTATATGCAATTTTCTTATAAATCTCTTAATTTCTGTACAATTCATGAACTATGTGTAATGTTAAAAAATTGACTAAATTTTTAGCATTCTTATAGTTTTTCACTGTAATTATTATAAATGATTTAATTAGGGTACTGAATTTAATATTGAGCATTTTAGATGGAAGGTAGAAAGTTTTAAGAAAACAACACACAAAACCATCTGGACCAGGAAAATTATTAAGATGTAAATAAATGAGATGAAGATTATAATAGGATGTAGATAACAGAAAAATTAAAGTGAATTAAAGAAAATGTATAGAAAATTTAATTTAATTCCTTTTAAAAGAATTTATCTCTACCTTTTCTTATATGTTCACACTACAATGAATGAGTAGATGGTCATGTGTACAAAGGTCATATTTTGATACTAAGTTTAGTAATGTTTGGTATATGGAAATCTTAAGAAATTTTTACTTAAAATTCACAATTTACAAGAAAATAGTCATATACATCTAACACAGCAATGAGAGACACAATTTATTGGGAAGTTAATGGATTTATGGAATCTTAAATTATACAGCAAGGACTTGGTGTCACCGAGAAATATCACTGGTTGGCTGCTGCAGGACCATCACATGAACACTATTTGCTTTGGTGAGCTCACCATGATACAGGTCATGGCCTTCAATCTTAGAAGTCTACAACCTGATCTGCCCATGTCCTAGAATTCATCCAAATTCAGAAGAAGAAATCATGCTGATTAGAACCTAAGATGAAAAGATATAAAAATAGGACAACTTATTAATTTATAATGAAAATGCAATTATCTTACAAGATATGAAAGCAACTTTTTTATTCAATTAAGAAATTATTTTCATATCAAAATATTTTAACTTCATCTCAAAATATTAGATTATATGAGAGCTTGATATTAAATCATTTCTCTGTTGCATTGAGAATGACTCAACTTTTCTTGAAAATGAAAAATTAACTTGCTTATATGTAAGACTATTCTTAAATTCTAAAAATGGTATACAACTCAAAAAGCATGCATTAAAATTTTTTTATTGGTAAAAGAAAGCAAAATTCTGCAATTTTACAGAGAATGTGTATTTCACACTATCATTTATGAAACTAGAGATTATGGAGACTTCATTGAAAATATGATTGCTCAGTAATGCAGTCAAGCAAACTTACTGCTATCAGCCATGTATAATTCATATTTTCTGATCTGCCTGTTATTTAATCACTTCAATTTAATCCCTATTAAGTTGGATTACAATACGTACAGTAACTTACATACTGCTTTGCTTAAAATGCACAATAACAGACAATATTTATTCTATAGTAAGATTAGAATAGAAAAGGAACTTTTTTGTCAGATGGACAAATTCACTGAAGTTGGCCTATGAGCAGGCCTGACTTACAGAGGGGCTGATGTAGACCACCAACCATTTTAGAGATTTGTGGTCTCTTGGTAGAGAGCTCTCTACTATGTTCCTACTCCAACTAAGGGTTCTCTCCTTATCCAGGGTTTTGCAGGATTCTACTTTCAAAATTGTTCCTTGGGCCTACCCCATACCAAACTTACTCTTTTCATTTTCAAGAGGGCAGAGTTGTCAAATTAGTTAGGTGGTGGCCAAGACTTGGAAGAATCACAGAACAGTTGCCTTACTCTTTATTATACCAGGTTGGGAGACTGGGCCTAATAAGGTGTGTGCAGGGTACATATGCCAGTGGAGAGGGAGAGACAAGAAGAGTGGAGTGCCTGAGCTTTAGTTTTTCTATGTGTCCTTATGGGTATGTGTCTCAGTGTACAAGATGGAATCTGTGGAGGTTCAGTCACTGCTGGTGTATGTGTGGGTATCTGCTTCTGTGGTACCTACCAGTGTGAGTTAAGTCATGCAGAAATGGTAGTGACAGAACGCACATACATACACATGGTACTCCATACTGTCTTGTGTACACAACTGGATGGGAGAAAAAGACACAAGGACATCTTCAAAAAGTGCTTCCTGAACAGGGTGTGGTGGCACATGCCTGTTATTCCAGTTCTATAGGAGGCAGAGGAGGGAGAATTGCAAGTTTGAGGCGACCTATACAAATTAGTGACTTACAAAGACCCTATGTCTAAATAAAAATAACAAAAGTGCTAGGGATGTAGCTCTATCTAAAGTTCCATATCTTATTCCCCACTACCAAAAAAAGTACTCTTTGTTGAACTTTGAAAATGTTCTGCTTGCACAGGGAACTTTCCACTTGTACTGAATGGAAGGCCTTGAGGTCTTTTTGGCTTTAAATTTTTATTTATTAGTACATGTTGGGCTAGGGATAAAGCTCAATGGTAGAGTGCTTGCCTATTATGTGCAAGGTTCTGGGTTCTCCAGTTTAGCCAAGAAAAAAAAAAGATAAAGTAAAGATTACCTGGGAGTGGTGGCACATGTCTGTAATCACCATGAGTTTGAGGCCATTCTGGGATACATAGCAAGTTCAAGGCCAGCCTGAGCTACACATCTAGAAAGACCCTATCTCAAAAAACAAACAAAAAAGTATATGCTTGCAATATATGATTACATTCCTCATGGGAAATCAGTACATGTACATAATACATCTTAATTCTTTTTTAAATTCCTTTCCCTTTATCTCCTTTCCCCCTCCCTCCATCTCCTCCTCCCCTTTCCCTTTGGAAAAGATCTATCTCATCTCCTTATTTCCTATTATTTAGCTTCTTTTGCTCCTGGTTTATATTTTGGGTTTCTCATATAAGAGAATCTGTGGTACTTAAACTTGTGTGGCAATTTATTTCACTTAATATTATGATCTCAAAGTGAATTCATTTGGAGTCACTGCATTCATGATCACAACTAATTCACAACTAACATTTGGCTAGACTTTGGGAACATTAAAAGAACTCTACTGATGACCCTCAACAGTACTCAACTATAGAAAAGGATGGAGAGGCCTCCATGGCCTTGTACTACAAATATGATCTCCTAAAACCAAGATGAGGAAGGAGCTATGTCCATAGAACATGGTCATTCTAGCAGCTAAAAGAAAAATTAAAAAGTGGAATTGGATGGATAGGTGGAGAAGGAAGGAGGAAGATAAAAATAGAGGATGGAGGGGCAGGAGTTCCAGGATAAACAAGAGAAAGAGAAAAAAGGGAAAAATAGGCACCCTCATGCTACTAAGGATGCTTTTTATGGTTGTAATAAAGGGATCCTTCACAGAGTGTTAGCCTAAACAAACAGCGAGAGGACCACACAAGGACTTTGGGAAAGGATACAAACCCGAGAAGCCTCTTTTGCATGATTATCTCTTAAGTGCAATCAGGATCCTAATCTACCTTAAGTAGGAACTATAGATGGTAAAGGCACTGTCTGAACCATAATATTGCAAAGTCATCAGCATACTCAAACGAACATGTGTGCCTCTCTCACAAACACAGAAACACATAGAAACACACACACACACACACACACACACACACACACACCAGTTTGTGGAGCAAGAAAAGGATGAAAGCAGTGTTGTGAAGTGGAGGTAAAATATGAACTGGACAAGAAAGGGATGAAAATGACTCAGATGGTCCTTAAGGCTAGTAGTCATGGGATGGTTCTTCATTTTTCCAGTTCACAGAGATCATTTTAATTCCCACAGATATAAATTCACCCCCTGTACAGATCCTCCTACATACCCCCAAACCCCTGATTACCAAAAAGCAAGAGTTAGAAGGAAAGTAGTGACAGGAAGTTAAAGATTAAAGATAGTGTTGCTTTCTAGATATGAGGTGTACTCTAAAAGCCTCATGTGTTTGGAAGGTCATTGGATCATGAGGACACTGTGTTCAATGTATGAATCCACTGATGAGTTTATAACCAAATGTGCTGTTAGGAGTCAGTCTGGTTGGAAGATTGTGGTTACTGGGAGGTGTAACCTGGAAGTGTGTATCTCCCTCCCCAAATATGTCTAACTCTCTGCTTTCTGAAGCCATGATATGAGCAGCTTTTCTTTGGCCATTTCCCTTAGCCATGTTATTTCTGACTTGGAGCTAGCCAATCATGATCTGAGGCTGGGAGCCAAAATAAACCTCTCCTCCTTTATGTTGGTTGTGTCAGATATTTGCCACAGTAATGAGAAAGTAACTAAGACAGATTTTGGTAGCAGAGGTGTGGGGCAATTGCCATGACTATACCTGACTGACCATGTGGCTGAGAATATTTGGAATTGGCTTGTGGGTGGAATTTGTAAATGTTTGGTTATGCTGGCTAGAAAAGTCATAGAAGGCTGTAAGCAGAGTGACCAGATGGATGTGAGATTCTGGTTGGAGCTCAGATCAGAATGGTGACAGAAATGTGCACAGGTTTCAGTTGTGAACAAGGACTTCATTCACAGTTGTATCAAAGGCCATGTGTGTTATGTTCTACAAGAAAATGTATCTACACTTTCTGCTAGGAGACACTGAAGGAGACTAAAATTCAGGGAGGTGAACTAATTTATGTGGCATTTAAAATTTCTTAGAAGCCCAGTGTTCAACCTGTGGCATAGACACTTCTGGCTGCTTTCAGCCAGTGAGAATCAGAAGCAAAACACCCATTTGAAGAATTTGGAGTTTCCCAAGAAAGGAAGCACTTGAAAGTTGAGCAAAGGAAAGTAAGATTGTTAAAAAGACTAGCATTAATAAGACGAGTACTTTGTATCAGGATAATAGGAGACATGGCTTGAAGACATGTCATGAATCAGCAAAACATCCATTCACTGGTCAAAGCATGTAAAAAGGTAAAGGCAACTCCTTTGGAAGATATTGCTTTGAGAAGAGAGTTCCAGAGTACCCTACTCTAGAAGATCCACCAAGGGAATTTGTTCCCTGGGAATGTTTTTCACTGTGTTTGGCAATCTGAGCACTGAAAAAACCTTGTAGCCTGATACAATGGGGGCTGGCTGATGCTCAAGCTGATGGCAGACTTTGAAATTAACCACATAGTTCTGGACATGCAGAAAAATGTAAGAATTGTTGGGGTAGGGAGACTTCCACCAAATTTCATAAGGTCTGGCAGACTAAGTAGTGTGCCTCTGAGAGAGCAGTTTATGAAACTGTGAAAATAAAACTGAAAGTGCACTCTAAGGACTCTAGGAAGTTGCAGATGCCAGGAATGTGGAATATTAGTGTTGATTAAAAATCACAGGCCATGATTGGAGCCAACCCAAGATAGAAGGCGTGAGGGATTCAACAAGCAATGCTGTAGTGGTCAGGCAACACAAGCACTTGGTAGCTCATATATCACCACAATTTGCCTCAGATGCTGGACATGGAACTACAAGATTCAACATTTCCTCTGTTGAGTTTTGGTCTTGCTTTGATGCCATTCCTATCTCCCTATTTTTCTCTTCTGCAATGAGAATGTTTACCCTGTGTCGTTGTATGTTGGCAGTGTTTAATTTTCTTTTTTATTTAAACAGGAACTCACAGATAAAGAGTTTGCTTTAGTCTCAGAGGACACTTTGGACTTAGGATTTTTAAGCACTAATGAAACTGGTAAGATTTTGGTGACTCAGAGAATAAAACAAATTATTGTAAAGATATACATCAATCGTTTGGGGATCTAAGGGCAGGAAGTTATGGAAATCTGGTATGCTAACCAAAAGCTTCATGTGTTTGGTAAGTGTTTGGATCCTAGAAAACTCTACCTATCAGTAAATTGATCCTCTCTTGTATTTATAACTAAATGTACTTAGGAGATGGGACCTGGTTGGAAGAAGCAAGTCA